TGAGGGGGAAAGCGGTGTGTGTGTGTCTGTCCCGGCTGGCGTTCGCCGGGCACTCACTCGCTGAGGCGGCCTCTCTCCTCCTCCTCCTCCTTCCTTCCTCCTCCTCTTCCTCCTCTCCGGTCCCGGCGGCGGCGCGGCCTTGGCGAAGGGTCGCGGGAACTCGACGCCCTTCCTTCTCTCACAATCCCCGGCGGGGCCTTCTCGCCTCAGGCGGATGGCGGGGCGCGGGAAGAGAAAAAGAAGAGGGGGCCGCGCGGGCACACACGCACGCGCGCGGGGCAGGCGGGGGGGGCCGGAAACCGTTCGCTCGTGCTGGCTGCGCCGCGGCCTTTCCTCTCCCTCCCTCGCGCCCCGGACCGCCGCGCCGATTGGTCGAGCGGACCTCGCCAGGCTTGGTGTCACTGGCTGCGAGAGGTGCCGCTCCGGAAGCGCGGCCGGGCTTAAGCTTCCCTCGGCGCTCTTGATTGGCCCTTCCGTCTGCCCCTCCAGCCCGCGCAAACGGCGGCCAATCTCCGCACGAGCCGCCGCGGCTCAGTCAGGTTTGATTGAGAGGCGAGCGAGGGACAAAGGGGCAGGAAAAAGCGGGAGGGGGGAATTCAGGAGGCACGACGTGACGGCGCGGAGAAGCCCGCGCAGGCGCAGTGCGTAGCGGTGCGGTTTCTTAAAGGGACAGGATCGCGAATTAAGCCAGGCTCGGAGTCGGCCGACAGGGGGCTCCAGGGAGGGGCTAAGAACAGCAAGAAGGGCTTTTCATTCATACTTATGTAAATACATGCAAATAAGGAAGGGGTGGGGCTTCTGCGGCACCATATTGCCTGGACTAGATGCTAAGAGTGTTGAATTTGCAAGTGGCAGGACATGAATTCAAGAGAGGCGGCCTGGCCTCTCCACGGGTACCGTTTGGATGGGATTCCATGGAAAGAGGCTCCTTGGCCACCGTGCCCTAGTTAAACAGGCCTTGCTTTGCAAGCGGGCCGTCCCGTCCTGAGCACGTGGACCCCCCCCCCCAAGGAGGGCCCCTTGCCGCCTTTGCCAAAGATCCTGGGCAAAGGAATGCTGCCTTGCATGGAAAACCTGGTAACTGGGGGATGAGGCCCCTTGCCTGCACGCGAGGAGGCTCACTTCCGAGGATCACTCACGGCCAGAACTGTGTGGCAAAGGTGGCTTAGGTAGAAGTGCTGCATCGATTGCAACCGGAGAATGACCGTCAACGGGATTCAACTTGGCCGCCTTATCAAGCAAAGCAAAGCAAACAAAAGGGGGGGGGTCGGGTCCCTGCCCAACCCGGGCTTTTCTCTGCCATCCCGGTCGAGAAGGCGGTGTGTGAATGTGCGCGCGCGCGGGAGCGCAGTATAGGGATTATATACTATTGGCTGGATATGTAGATACCAAGGGATTTAGGTATCTGGCAGACGGGAGTTCCGTTGCCGACCGAGCGCGCCTCCTGGGAGGAGAGCCGGCCTGGGCGGTGGGGTTGCCTTGCCGTCGAATGGAGAGCCGCCGAGCCCCCTCGTCCCAACAGGTGAATGAGAAAACAAACTTCCTGGAACATTCCCATCGATGTTAATCCACTGGTTACTGGCGGGGGTGGTGGATCGTAGCAACAGAAAATT